CAGATATTAATCAGTACCTGATCAAAATTACAATCCTACAACAAATATTCAGATTTCTTGGGTAGAAGATTTCTTATTTAAATGGAATCAATACTGACCTTGACATTGGCATGAGCCTAGGTCATGTCAGACCCTCAAGGCATCACAGGATTATCAAATCATAAACTAACCTTGAAGTGAATGACACTGAAAGCAACCCATGACATGAATATCAAACAGTGGTACTCAAACCCCATTATCTTGATACATTGTCTCAGACAATGTTAAGTTCTGGCCCCAGCAGAAACTTTACTAACCTATGGCTTAACACTGGCACTCTGCTTGTCGCAAACTATGACTAACTCAACAAAGAACTTCAAAGAACTTGAGTCAACAATGCTGTACTTGTTTTTGCAGTCATGTGTTTTGATGCCAATACACTTGCAGTGACCTTAACCTTCAAAATGAGCCAATCACATGCCTGGATAGCTATATTCAGGAGGAGGTCAAGTAAGGAATAGGCTTGAGGTTGTCAGAATGAAAGTCTGCAGCGTCATTCCTAATACAAAGGTATTATGCAACTCTCCATTCCTCATACAGAGCTGTGCTTATGAAAGTACTGAAATCAACTTAATCAACACTCAAGACAGTGAAGTCAAACACTTAAGGGGTGTTTATTTCAACTTTCTACAGACACAACTTCAGCGATACTTTTAAAAATTGGTTTAAGGATCTGTTAACCTTTAAAAAAAAGAAAAAAATGTTTTGAAAGCAGTCTTTTATTCCAACTGTAATTCAACATATTTGCCACAATCACACTATGTATAACATATGTTGAACAATATGACTAAGGAGATGAGCTTAAAAAATACAAAGAATTAAGTGAGTGAGTGAGTGAGTGAGTGAGTGAGTATGGTTTTACGCCACTTTTAGCAATATTCCAGCAATATCATAGCAGGGGACACCAGAAATGGGCTTCACGTATTGTGCCCATGTCTGGAATCGAACCCAGGTCTTCGGTGTGACGAGTGAACGCTTTAACCACTAGGCTACCCGACCACCCCTCAAAGAATCAAGAGAAAAAAATGCAGTAATCCCTAATGCAGTAATGCCAGAGCGTATGTACATATCATCAGAAAATCATCATGTTTTTTTTTTTTATATCCTGTGTGTCCTTGTATATAAAGAGATTAATATATGAGCATGTATCATACTGATTTTATGAAATGAGTGTCAGAATTCTTGTAATTCCCAAGCAAGAGCGAGGGATACAAATGAATTCTTACACAAGTTTCATAAAATCAGTATGACGCACATGTAAGGGTAATAATTTCTTTAATTACCTATTTTTTCCTAATCCTTTTGAGCTCCCCTTTAGAAAAATTCACAAACATCTCTGTTTTAGAAAACCACAATTGTAGAATGACAGAAACAATCTTCAGCTATGACGTCGTTTCTAGCATGATGTAATTTCGACCTTATATCACAATATATAAAGTGATATTTGCACTGGTGCACATACGATTTTTATGAACTGGGTTATTTCTAACCCAATGGTAATAAATAAATGTATCACTTGTATTGATACATGACCTGATGATACAATATTTGTTTTGAAGCAGAGTTAGTGGGTAACCGCTACAAGCAGTTAGAGATTATACATCTTGTGTGAATGAATGGTACAAGCATGGAGGACTGACCATCTAGCAGGGGATAAACATGTGATTTGTGTTTGCGATTGAATACGTTTTCAATCAGTGCTTCGAACTATGCACTCTTCTTCTCCAACAGGACTCAACATTTTTTCTAGACCCACACTTTACCCCGGAACATCATTTGAATTATTTTTGCGTGTGAACACCTGAGTAAATTAATTAAAAAACAACAACTTTCCAGCATTTTTTGGAACTGTTTTTTTCTCTCTCAGAATATCAAATGGTCAACCAATTACAGAATCTATTCACAAGTAAACAAATAGAAAATGACGAAAACCATATGAAATGTTAATCCTACAGAGCAACTGAACTCACAAGCTGCAATGTTATCACCACATGATATTGTTCACAACAATTGCTTCAAATGACTAACCAGCATTGAGAATATCTAAAAAGCAGAGGTGCAAACGTCAGATAGTTATTTGACTCACCTCTTCACTCTCACAGGCATATACCTCTCCACTTCTGATAGGGATATTGTTATCTTTCCATCATACACAAAATGGATCATCACCAAACTCTAAAATTGGCAATTCGGACAGAAACTAGCCTTAATTTTAAATCTAGTTTTGTAATAATTCCAAAACATGCAACTATTCACATGAACAAAGTCAAAATTATCATTAATATGAACATATGTGATAACTGTGACAGTGGTTTCCACTAGTTGTCTTCATTTCTAAATGATGCAGATCCGTGGGCCAAGAACGGCCATTCTCCTCCCTGGTCCTCTGGAGGCAAAGCTAAAAGCAAGACAGAGAGAGGAGACTGTAGTCTCGTGCTGTAGGGTAGGCGGTTATGAGGCAAGGAGCCCTAATTAAATTGATTATAGTAATAAAAACAAACAAAAACTACATAATCCTGGAAATGAATACCCAGTAAGCACAATACAAACATTTGCTATGGATTTCTATGCATTTCATTAACAATATTCCACACACACATAGTAAAACCTATGGACTGTTCTTTAACTCCGTTGTGGCAGAGTTATGCTTGTTCAAAAGCAACTTATTTACCCCTGCTCAGACAAGATAGCAAATAAATCTTGACTCTAAACAACATCCAAGTACACTGAGACCCTGCTACCCTAGACACTACTGTCTTCACTTATTAGATATATTCTTAGTACTGTAGCATACTCCCCAGGGAGCTGAGAATGAAAATGGAGTACAGACCGATCCAGTCGATAATAAGATCTATCACATATTTGGATGTCAGCCTTTTAAAAACAAAACAAAACATGTTTCCCTCCTCTGACTCCTGACTTTGACAAAAACATTATCACTGATCCAACAAATAAATGCATAATAGTCTAATCATCAGTGGTCACGTTTCATTTGACATATAGACTCCATGTCAGGTCTGGTCTTGTAATTTATGGTATTAACTTGAGTTACTAAAACTACCATGGTAACTTCCTGGAACCTCGTAATGTTATTGTAGCTAACATGGTCGATATGTTGAATCTAGTTTGGTCTCTTTATTATGTAATAAAACAATTACAGACTTTTATGAGCTCAATACCTTTTTTTATGAACTCGAAAATAGCAATATTGCTTTATGGGGTTCCATAAAAAGTAACATATGGCTTCCATGAAGTTTATAACTGTACATAATTTCAGATGAGAGAAATATATACCCGGTCCCGTATTCGACTTAATAAGCACCCAGGGCGCTCTCAAAATTAGAAATAGGGGGCTCTTATTGGATTCTTATTTTAGTGGGAAAAAAACAGAGTTGAAAGATAAATATCGTGGTTTATGCTGACAGCCTGAAATGTTTATGTATCACAGACATATTTTTCCAGAATTTAATTGCCCATAATTAAATGAGTGCATATTATACGCGAATAAATAAGTCTTGTGTACATTGATCAATCGGAAGGGGTGCTAATTGGGATTGTTCACTGGCCAATATATTAGCAAATATCGCCGTGGGCGCTTATTAGATCAGGCACTTATTACATCGAATACGGTAATAGACATATACATGACATTCACAGGGTCCGGCCCAGCAGGGTTTCACTGTACTTCCACTGCCTTCACAAATCAGGGGTTATGAGAAAATGACATATTCTCATAGTTTTGAATAAAATAAAAACATGTAATCATCAAAAGACTTTGTACCTTAGACATGATGCTCATTATATAATTAAAGCCGATGAGGGACAGTGATGAAGATTACTGCCTAGAGTGACCATGTGTCATCTTTTCCTCCACAACTTCATACACTTCCATACGTTTCATATCTTTCTGAGGCAAGGGAGTTAACTGACTTTATAAGTCCACTTTCAATCCTTTCCGAACTAGGCTGGAATATCTGGGCTTGATTGTCGTGCCACCAGTGGCTATTATGAGTTATGTCCCTTCTATGTTCCACCTACCAATCAAACCAAATGGCGGCGTTCAGTCAGGACAATTTCATTGTCACTAAATATCTTTACTGTGATAAAACAGGCTTTACCTGTGCATCAAATCTCTTGAGCACCTTGAACAAAAACATGAAAAGATTGGGAAAATATCTGTCGAAGCCCATTTGACAATACACATATGCTCTGCAAATAATCATGCAATAAAACAAAATCGGCAAGGCAGTTGCCATATTCATGAACCATATGTTGATTCGTTACAGGATTTTGATTGGACTATACATAAACTCGTTAATCCAGCCAAAATGTAACTCCATAATTCCAGCCTAGTTCAGCAAGGGTGTCATCTTATACATCATCAACTCATCAGCAAAAGTCTGAAACATCAGCACGAGTGTCCACAGTGTTCGAAATACCTGCCTGCCCCACCGTCCGAGACGGGTTGATTTCAACTCGGGCTGCCAGATTTTCAAATCCCCCTGCCCGACGGTCGGGTTGTATTTCAAATGTAAAAATATTCTAAATATTTCTAGATGATAAGCATTATTTACATGATGTATTCTAGGATATTAAATACAAATCTGACCTAAAAAGTGTTTGCTATTTCATTTCTTGCATTACTTCATGTTCAATGAATTCGATTTAAAGTTTTAATTAAATTATCCTGAGAAACATATGATTATAGTGGGCAGGCAGGTTTTGGTCAGGGCTGGCAATTATTTCAGCTAGCCAGTCCTGTGGTCTGGCTGAAAATTTTGGGAGTTTCATACCCTGGTGTCCACTGAAGTTTTGATAGAAGACTCAAAATTACCTTCAGGAATCATTGTTTAGAAAATGTTATTTTTTTGTCTTTCAAACATCTTAAAACGATATTGCTTACAAATATGGATGGCCAACAATTGTGAAACAAAATATTTAAGCCTAAAGTAATTGTCTTGTTTCAACTTTTAGTTTTTACATGGGTGTGCCTGGTATTTGGTCCGATTCACATTGAATGTGAAGCATGTGGGATTCTGTGGCAAATGTCAACTATCTGTGTCCCTTGTCTTTCTTCAACATGAAGCCATCACTCTGTGTACAAACTGACAACAAACCTATAACAGGCTCACTGACCAGTTCTGCTCTGGTGCTGTCTCAATCATCCAGTTCATCTGCTACTAAGCGTCTTAGAAAAGGCTGAAATCTAGTTCTATTACCTGAACAAGGAATCATTTCAAATCTGGGGTGAACCTACTACAGGTCCAGAATTGATCACATGTAATCATTGAACTCCTTAATACTGACAGATTATCTGCATATCAACAGTTCTCAAAGATAACGGGGGTCTTTGAGGTTTGCTGTGGGAGTATTTGAAACTAGACTCCAGTGTTTGAAGTGAGTGCCTTTCCATAGGCCCGTGGAAGGTTGATCTCAACCCCTGCCCCAAGTTTCAAATTTGTATGGGTCTTCATGGCCTGCAGTAAGCTTACGTGTCTATCTATTTGTCACAATAAGCTCATTTTTAAAATGTTTTTTGGTTCATTTTTCATTCAGAAATTGGACATAGTTACCAGAACGACAAATCTCTTCAATTAGCGAAGTTGAAAAAACCCAAACAATCAGAGATGAACTTGCAGAACACAAAATTGTCCCTGTAGGCTTCATTTATCTTTGACTCAAATATCCAAGGCCAGCAGTTTCAAAAGTCTATTGGTCCTGATGGCAGTCTGGTAGTTTTATTTATTTCAAACACTGCTAGAGTCCCCCTCATTCTTTTACATGTAACACAAAGGTTATGACAAGCTACAAGCTTGTACTCCAACCTCAGAAGCCTAAGATGGTAGTTCACATGAGAACTTACAAAAAGAAATCATTGGCACATCATTATAATGTTAAATCTAAGGAATTCTGAGGTGTCAACAACATTCTTGTCATCTTCATAAAATACAAATAACAAAGAAAATATAATAAAAAGAAAACAACCCCAAATCACATCAAGTGTTTTTCCTGGATCAGTACCATACAAACCATCAACCTCCTGGGTGTCGATACAATGGCTGCACAGAGAAGGATATGCAGCATCCGAACCAAAACACCAAATAAGTTTGACATCACTTTTAATATAGGAATCCTCATCAGGTTACGTTGCTGGGATAACTTGAGCTTTGATGATAAGAGTATCATTCCTAACAAAGTCTGCGTTATCCAGCACACTTAAGGCTACAAATTCCATGTAACCAAATCCTTTGTGGTTCCTTGGCGTGACCGGTTTTTGAAAAGCTGCCAAATTGGGTTTGGCAATAAGAGTCTCAGCGATATGATTTCGGAGCTCACATATGGGATTCTGGTCAATCACTGACAGAACAATCCGGCCAGAAAATGGCCAGTCGAGAATCTCGTCCCAATCTCCCTGCATGAAATGTATGAAGATTGAAAGATGGCTTCCTTTGGCTGCGTCCACACCATTGAGGTTAGCTCTAATACACAACTTGTAACCATAGCAGTTGGAATAAAATGAAGGGCTGTGCAGCGCGGTGTTGATGCCCTGTTCCGCCTCCTCACGGAGCTTGTGGTAATTTTTGATCCTCCAGTAGAACTGACCATTGCATGCCCGGCCTTCGAACTCCTGCACAGCATTGTCGAGGAAGCGCAGTTTGTACTTCAGTTCCTTGTTTGTTTTCTCCAACATCTCATTCTTTGCTTTGATTTCAACCAGTTGCTGGTCATGACGAGCCAGACTTTCATCTTGGTACATGTTCTGGTTTTTAAGACTCTGGAGGTCTAGTCCCGAAGCCCCCTGCAGTGAGGACAGGGCCCCCTTCACACCATCAGCATCAGATTGTTTGGAGGTGTGACTTACATGAACTCCTTCTGCAGTCTCGTTGGATGGCTGCAACAGTGTATCGGACACACTTCGGTGAAGCTTACGAGGGTCAAAGTCGGTTGTCAGGGGATCAAGGTTGAACTGTTTGACCGACTGTCCATCTGGGGTCCGTGAACCGGAGATGTTCGGGGCAAGACCGGGATCCTGCATGTTGAGGCCTTGGAACTGGCTGAGGTAACTGCCCATGGCTGACAGTGACGTGGACATCTCCATCGGGGTGAGTCTGCTTGATATGGCTGTGGCCGAGGCTGGAGAGAGGCTCTGGATGCCGAATTTGTGGAGGATGGTTACCACGCCATGACACAGCATGCGTTGATGGTCGACTGTGGCGTCCAGGTAGTGTTCCTGCTCCATCTTGCGTTTAAACTGAAGTAAGAAACAATCTTTCAGTCAGTAACATTTAGAGGATGAGACCATCACACGCTTTCAGACTTGTGTCTTGTATTGAGTATATCTAAATCTAGGAAATTCCAATTTGAGTGAAAATGTCTCAATAATACATGTGGTTTCAGTGAAATTCTTGAGTACTTGATGCCAAGATATTTCAGTTGGAAATGATGGGTGTTTGGTGGATGTTGAAAAGGTTAAAAGTCTGTATATTGAAATACTCACTAACACCTGTGAATTTGAAAACACATTGACATTACAAAGACATCACATCAATGCAGTCATTTTCAGCACTCCTCAAGATACTCTTGATAGGACTCACCTGAGCAAGATTTAAAGTCACAGACAGAAAAAGGAGTAGATATTCATGAACAGTACTGCACTACCATTCCAGGACTCACCTGAACAGAACATCCGAGAGGTCTAAAGTCACAGGCAATGGGATAGTCAAGACAGTCCTTCTCATGATGTCCGCTAAGCTGCAAAACAAACAGAACATGTCAATCAACAAAGTATTGAGATTCATCTTCCCGAGGCAAGGGAGTTAACTGACTATGAAAGTCTAGTTTCCATCCTTGCTGGACCAGGCTGGTATTATGGAGTTACATTTTGGCTGGACTAATGAGTCTATGCATAGTCCAATGACAATCACTCAAAGAAAATGAAATCCGGTTCGAGAACTGTCATGCATATTTCAGTCGATCGCAGTATTTACAAAGCATGTGCACCACCAACTCGTTGTCAACAGATATTTTCCAAATCTTTTCATGTTCTTAATCAAGGTGTTTACATGATTTGATGCACTTTGCAATGTAAGACCCGTTTTGTCACAATATAGATCTTGATTATCGATCAGATCATCATGACTGGGCGCCGCCATTTTGTTTGAAGCAAATGCAAGTGATACAAGAGGTGGAATCTGATTGGTCCATAGGAGAGGCATAGTAGGGCGCTACGATCGAGCCCAGGAATTCCAGCAGAGTTCAGCAAGGGTAGAAACTGGACTTTTAAAGTCAGCTGCCTCTCTTGATTCGGGAAGATGGTCAATTAAGGGAGCTTGCCCACAGAGGGGTTTCCAGGTCTGTTTAGGTCCCATGGATCCATGGTTTATGTATGTGGGATCCAAGTTTATTTGTTTGTGGTTTAACAGCAACACCACACTCAGCCATGACATCTGGCTGTGATGACATGCTATCAACCATGTCATCAAGGCTGGCAACCTTTGGGTAGTTTGCCTAAAACAACCCAAACATTACACTTACTCTGAGAGATCATCATCAGACATAGACCTCATCCTCCGTATCACCAGGGCTCACATTTCCGTAAACCTACACAAACCCCTAGTCCCATTCACAAGGTTTTTGTGATCTTAAATTACCTGCCCTTGATTTCCTTTAGCCAATTTAATTAGCTACGCTACTAGGTCTCACATACCAATCAGAATGCGAGTTACAAACCAACCTCAATGTTGGGTTGGTGATGTCAACAACATGGCGGCCAGTCCCACTGATTACACAAGAGTTGAGAGAAATTCAATGTTGAAAAACTGACTGACACGCAAAAGAAATAAACAAAATTTGTTTTGATGGAGAGGATGTCTTAATGTCTCTAAAAAGATGGTGGCTTTGTTTCAAAGCAATATGAGTTGCATCCTTTACCCATTTTCATTTCTCGACGTTCGATTGGTCGGTAAAATGTTAATGATAATCAAGGGCAATTACAACTGCGAAAACCTTGTGAATGGGTCCAGGGGTTATTTTAAGTTTACTGAAATGTGAGCCCTGGAGATAAGGAAGAAGGCTACATCCGTGAATATGGCCAGTGATGATTGCCAGTCAAACCACTTATTAGGGATATCCTGGTTTATGTGGTGCAGTATATGCATGTGGTGGTGCAGGAAGCAGTATATACAAGTGGTGGTATAAGAAGCAGTATATGAATGTGGTGGTATAAGAAGTGGTATAAGAAGCAGTATATGAATGTGGTGGTGCAGGAAGCAGTATATGAATGTGGTGGTGCAGGAAGCAGTATATGCATGTGGTGGTATAAGAAGCAGTATATGAATGTGGTGGTGCAGGAAGCAGTATATGAATGTGGTGGTGCAGAAAGCAGTATATACAAGTGGTGGTATAAGAAGCAGTATATGAATGTGGTGGTATAAGAAGCAGTATATGAATGTGGTGCTGCAGGAAGCAGTATATGCAAGTGGTGGTGCAGGAAGCAGTATATACATGTGGTGGTGCAGGAAGCAGTATATGCAAGTGGTGGTGCAGGAAGCAGTATATGCATGTGGTGGTGCAGGAAGCAGTATATACATGTGGTGGTATAAGAAGCAGTATATGCATGTGGTGGTGCAGGAAGCAGTATATACATGTGGTGGTATAAGAAGCAGTATATGAATGTGGTGGTATAAGAAGCAGTATATGAATGTGGTGGTGCAGGAAGCAGTATATGCAAGTGGTGGTGCAGGAAGCAGTATATGCATGTGGTGGTGCAGGAAGCAGTATATGCATGTGGTGGTGCAGGAAGCAGTATATGCATGTGGTGGTGCAAGAAGCAGTATATGCATGTGGTGGTATAAGAAGCAGTATATGCAAGTGGTGGTGCAGGAAGCAGTATATGCAAGTGGTGGTGCAGGAAGCAGTATATGCATGTGGTGGTGCAGGAAGCAGAATGTACATAGGATTAGATGGTTATAGCCCTCAGAGGAGTAAAAAATCCAATTCACACAACAGAATTATTCATACTTATTGCACACCAAATTTCTCAAAGATACATGCAGAAATGGCGGCAACCCTTACTTAGGGAATCAATGCTTACTGATTGCTTGATGAAGTCTCCACCACAGTACTGACAGAACACCTGCACCAATGGACACTCGGTCAGATGATGCTGCAACATAACACTGGAGGTGAAAACAGACATCGGAGCACCAGTCTTCATGTGACATTATCATACTTGATACATACTTTCTGTATCGGTACAAGACAATACACTTGCTAAAATAAATTATGTACTACTTGGCAAATGACCCTGAGTGTTTTTGTCAGTCAATTATTGAAAAAAATGTGTTTTAATTAGCATTTCAAGATCACTACTAAAGTAGCTGCTACAAACATGTGTCTACAGCAAGCTTTTCCTTAAACTGAGCCTACTCTGAAATATTTATTGTCAAGAAGTTTCCACATGGTTTGACATGCGTAACCACAACACCAGGGGGAGCTTAGCATGTTTTATCTTATGTTATGTTACGGTTTACAAAAACACATTCAGTCACAAAACAACATCGGTGGTCATGTTTTCAGAAATGGAGAAATCATGAAAATGTCAGACATTCTACTTCAGGAATCAACAGATTTGAGTGATTTCTTAAACCATGTTATGCTTGATATACAGTTTCTCTAAACTTTTGCTTAATGACCTGTAGTTGCTAAAGTTCCAACTTGTTTCAGAATGGCCAAATATCAACAACAACAACAACAACAACAACAACAACAACAACAACAACAACAGCATTACTGGGTAGCAGGGTCCATACTTGATTCAGGCTGCTGTGATATATCGGAGTGGATGCTCCGTCCAACGTAAAGAGGTGGACAATACAATTTAAGCGTGTCAAGGAGATCCTTGAAGATTCTGGCTATATGAGCCTATAAAACACAACAAAGTATGAAATATTTTGACCCACTAAAAAATCAGTCAGTATCTCCCTGGCATTGACATGAATGAAGAGTACAGAGACAGTGAATTAAAATTAAACGTCACTTTGAACACTGTTCCAATAAGGTCACAGCATGTGAGTTCAACTGGGAGGACAGCCCATAATGCCACAGGATGAAGAGGGTGAGGAGCATGAAAGAGCATGAAAACATCGCAGACAGGATCATAATCCTGGCCAGTCAATGGGCTGAACCCTGGACCAGCAGATCCCTTCATACACACAGGAGTGAGTTAGGATTAATGCCGCTTTAACAGTATTCCCGTTATATCGCGGCGTGTCAGCTTAATGTGAGAGGAAAGCCCGAAGTGATGCAGGTGTCAGACGTTTACCACTTCGGTGAAACCCATGAGCACGGGTATGGTGCTGACAAACCTAGAAACATAATTGGGTCGAACCGGGATTCGAACCCACAAACAGGGTTTCTGGCGTGCCCAAGGGACGCAAATCTGCACGGCAAATCAGGGCGCCTTAGACAACTGGGCCACCCGTGCCCCCTCATACACACAGGAATTATACTAACTACCAACATATTGTTTTCGAGGTCACAATAGCTTGACCGCATGCAATCTAGTACATTTGAAAGGGTAAATGATCATGTCTAGTGATGTTTAATCGCAAATTTCACATTTTCATTTACCAAGTTTGTTATTTCCTGTTCGTTCACCTGAATCAATATGATGTAGTTTTTTACTAGAGAAAATATTTTTATGAAAATACAACCTTTATATAATCCTATCCCTTTTTACAAAATTATTTCTTCTGGTCCTCAAAATCAGTCCTATCTACAGTAATATATGGTACATGTTCACATACTGACTCAGTCTGCTTCCATATCCGAACATTCGCCTGCTGGTTTCTGTGAAAGAACAATCAGGAGTCCAACATTCTATTCCCACCCAAATGCCAGCCTGTCAAACTCCCATTGTTGGCCAATTATATGTAGTTACCCAAATTATCCTCAATGATTTGTGCAGCAGTAACAGGAGCTGACTGCTTAGGAAGGTGAGTTCAGTGTGTTTGTTTCAGGACAAAATGACATTTTCTTTTGAATCATTTCGACTTGTGACAGGTATTTTCAGGGGGGAAATATTAACTACAGCAAAACTTTGAAGGAAGAGGGTGCTCCTACAGTACCAAAAATATCCATTAGATTTTAATAGGACCTACTCAGTAGCCTGGGGCTTCTAGAGGGTGAGTGAGTATGGATTTGTGCCACTTCTAGCGACAGAGGACCCCAGAAATGGCCTTCCCACAACATTGTACCCATGTGGGGAATCGAACCCGGGCCTTCACTGGACGAGCGGCTGTTTGAACTACAAGCTACCCCTATGCCACCCTGGGGCTACTGTCTCTTTTTTCTAGCTAAGGAAAATCAAATCTGGGTAGCCCCACTGGATAGCTTAATTTGTGAACTTTAATACATAAACCTCCCTCCCCATCTCAAAATGAAAATGTTCACTTAAAAAATAAGACCGATTTTACTGAAATAATTATATCGCTGTGGTTAATCAATTTGCTGGAAGAAGACAACTTTTTTCAAGCGGTATCCGAATGCATCATATTGTCATATTAAGTATCCCCAACTTGAAACAAAATTTCTTTTTCTGTTACCAGATTTTTCTGTGTATTTGGCTGGGAAAAAATATGGCGATTTGCAAATAAAAAATTGTCTAGCTAGCATGGCTGGCTAGTGCTGCTGAAAATTATTTCATTGTTAGCAATGCATAGCAGTTTTATCTTTGACTTGACTCGTTAGTTTCATGTAACTGTCCAGAATCTGAATATCGCACTTGCTGAAGTCCATCTGGAAGCAGATCTTGAACAACAGGATTCTTGGCATCTGCCGTATATACATCCTCTAGATCCGCCCATGTATCCATGAAACACGGCACAGTTCTAAGTCTGCATAAATTCCCACATCATCGGAATATCCATAATTTAGAACCTGATATTGCTCAAAACAATGGTACCTGACTTAACCAAAGAATTGGTGAGGCCTCCCTTGCAATTAGACTAATGTTCAGTCTCCGAAAACACGTTATTCTTGCAAATACCCTACCTTTATTACATCATGGCCATAATCCTGTATTGTTGCTATCAACAAAAAAAGAGTCCTCTTCACTGCCAGCTATACATAATGAGTCATTTTGATACTAGTGTTCCATTACCTAGTGCTCTTGCAGTGATATCCAACATGATTAAGAAAAATGATGATTAAATAATGATATCCAAATATCATTGAACAAGATCCTCCTGCAGCTTCAAAAGAAAAGCCAAAATACAACAGGGCTACAATTGACTTCCATGCAGTTGTGAACAGGAAGTGAACTTTGGCAACAGTAAATGAACTTTAGCAACAGGAAGTGAACTTGTCCTTGTATTCTGCACATCCTGGATCTATCATAACTATCATACATCCGTCTCCATCGACCAATATTAAAACAAGTTCATACAAGGTTGTTGGTTCATAATTCAAGACATGTGATTGGTAACAATATGGGCCATTCACAACGAACAACAAACACTGAGTGGAAAATCACCGGGAATCCTTATTCAAACAGGATCCTCTTTATTATTAATGCTAACTGATTTTATATGCTACAAATAAAGTGTATGTTGCTTTTGCATAATTGAAACCTGAAACAAGGATTATAACCACATCAGCAATGTTCTAGACTGCAAATACTTCAACTTCACAACAGCCTGAGACAAAATGGGCTGACAGTTCAAGTAATGTTCATGATTCTCTTTTCACCATGTCAAAATATTCATTGACAGTGGGGCTGTACTTAAATACATATATAACAAGTTGCCGGGGGATCATTCCAGCTATATCACAGCACCCTGTATACAATCGTGTCAGGATCAGATCGACAAACCAGTGATTGCTATAATTAGCAATGTCCAATGCTATTTCAAACAATATAAGTAAAAACTACAAGTGTCATGTTTCTTTCACTTACATCTGCCAACAAAGATAAAATTACTTTCTAACTGATTCAGCGATTATCTTAATGATTAGTAAGTGTGAAGTTTCCCACACAAACTGTTATCTCACCTCCATTCCTTCAGCACTGACGTCCTTCTGACAATTTTGGCACTGTAGAATTCTACGACGGCAGTTGAACTGTACATGATTTGGGATATCTCTGCGTAGCAGTATGTCCATACACCGATTGGGACATGGGACTAGGGCTAAGGCACACTGATCTGTATGTTCCTGAAAAACAATAATAATAACAATAACATACCAAGCCTCCAGCTCATGGTATGAAACCAAACGCGGGACGCATAAAAGCATATATACCCTGAGTGATCCCGCAACAAGGGATTTATCTTCCCGACATGTTTCAATCTGCAATTGTGAAAGAATTAAAGCAAATTGAAACTTGATTGAAAACAGCTATTCGATTGAGCGGAGGTTTAATTCATGGTGTCATGTGACTTTCATTAACTGTAAACATGAACCTTTTCGCTTCGTAATGGGGTATAAGGGATTCATTCTCATGATCAGAAATCTATCAGCAGCCTGTTTTCAACATGGTGGGGTATAAATTTATTCTCTTGCTCAGAATTTCTTATCTCTCCCAGGCAGGATTCATTGTATTTAATGAACCAATCAGACCTCAATATTCTGACATGAAGGTAACATAAGTCCATTTGTAGTTGGTTTGTTTGTTTGTTGTTTTACGTCGCACTCAGCAATATTTCAGCTATATGACGGCGGTCTGTAAATAATCAAGTCTGGACCAGACAATCCAGTGATTAATATCATGAGCATCGATCCACGCAATTGGGATCGATGACATGCTTCAACCAAGTCAGCGAGTCGGACCACCCGATCCCGTTAGTCGCCTCTTACGACAATCATAGTCGCCTTTTACTGCAAGCATGGGTTGCTGAAGACCTATTCTACCCCGGATCCATTTGTAGTACACAGTTCCTTACCCCAAGTAAGTGCTCATGGCACTACATAAAGATTATCCCGGTACATTGATCAGTGTGCATTTGAATCATATTACCACCTCCCTGTGGAGTATGCAAACCAAGCTGCCTTACAGGGTGCCAAAGGGTTTTTTCAATCATATTACCATCTCAATCTACTGGGTACCCATTTACTGCTGGGTCCACAGAAGCATATTTTACACAAAGTCATTTGCCTTAGAAAACACCACATATATAATCTCTCTTAAGTCAGGCCTGCTGAACACATCTCCCATCCACCTACTCTCCGTGACTAATGTTGCCGATTTGTGACTTTCTCACCATACACACAATTACCAACAGCCACAACAGCCGGATCGAGTTCAAACAAAAAAGGGAGATGATCTGATGTCGAATCTGGCAATATTCCAGGCAGTATGGACACAATGAGTGAGTGATACTGGTCAGCAGTATTGGCGCTGTCATGTCCACTTGTAAATCATGGTGAGGACAAGGCAACCCAGTGGTGGATAGCATGATGAATAGCAATGACACGAAACACAGACCTCAAACACCCTATCCAGGGTTTTACTTGGGGTCTATCCAAAGCTCGAAAAATTTCATTAAACCCAACTTACTGGGCAACCTGAAAACATTTTGTACTCATCCTTCAATATTTTCACTTGTATGTTGCAATGGTTGAAAATATTTCCATTTTCACCTCTAAATAGTTTTTGGTGTAACAGTTATTAAAGATGTTATGTGCAGTGAAAATCAATACTTTTCACTTTATGTGTGACTGTGACTGATATATCATGATATAACATTTATACAAAGTTACCTATAATAATTAGATCCACATCAAGTGCTTTTATGAATTATCATGGTGTAATATTTATACATCATTTCATATAATTATAGTTTAGCAAGTAATACTTATCATCAAGTAAAATGCACATAAAAAATATCAGTAGTTTCAGTTATACCTTTTTAGATAGATGCTAGCCTAAGGTAACGGGAGCACATCTATCTAAAAAGGTATAACAGAAAAAAAAGTTAACTGGCCCACCGTGGCCCCAACACAACATGCCCCCATCCTGTTTGAGACAGTCCGACCTACCTGAACATTCTTGAGTGTGGCCAGCACCTCACAGCCTTGCCTTGAGTTGGGACATTTGACTTTGAAGTTTAGGATTTCACGTTTGGCAAAGTTGTCTGCAAATAATTCCCGCTCATCGATTGCTTCATTGTCAACAGGACATCGAACATCACACTCCCTGTAAAGACAGCAGCAAATGAAAAATATTGCAATTTTCAAAAGAATTAATGTTTCCAGAATACAAGTAGGGATGACATCACATCAGCTCAATGTACTGAAAATAATGTTTAAACAGGAGATATATTTATTTGATAACCCAAAGCTATTCACATCCTTGAATTCTTCCAGAAGTCACTCATGCCCTCGTCCCTTTCTCGAGGAATTTGAGATTCTGCCCTGATGTCGAAGAGAAGCCATTTACGTCATGTAGATGAATTGAATTCTAATCAACCATGGCGACATACATTTCGTCATTGCAGAAAACACAAACTGAAGCCACACCTTTAAATAACTATTATTTCACAAGTGATATGGTTTTAATTTCTTTAGATCTTCCTGGCAAATACTGACCAGTTCATAGATCAATATTAATAACTAGTGAAAATATACTTGAGTTTTTCATGTCTGCTCACTACCAAATAAGAAACATCACTGTGGTGTTCCCTTCTTTAGTTAGTTGATGAAACACAACTTATACATAGTCCAAGCATCAATGGTTGTTGTGAGAGTCAACCGTCAACAGTTAATGTGGCCCTGAACAGTCTGTTATAAAGGATACATATACCTTCACACTTTGAAAACGAAAATTCAATATTCAGATCTGTGTTTATAGGCATGATATAATCAAACACAACAATGTTGTCATACAGGTTCAGATGTCACTTAATGTGTTTCAAGAACGACTTGAGCACAAAAACACATCTTGTCATTTCAAGCTAAAATGGATTACGAGGTTTTATTGTGTGCCAATATATATAGAAAATAAAATGCCTCCTGCTATAAGTTTAATCTTTTTTTTTAAATTTTGTGTGTGGAAAGCCCTATAATAAATTTATTGTGGCCTTAATAAAAGTGATGGGGCGGAGTGGGCACGCTGAATACAGTGCCAGGCTAGAAAATGTCAGGTGCTCAGATCGTATCCCGCTAGTGACCAGGTTCTATATTATTCTGCAACATAGTTCAAATGTGCTCCCCAGCAGGGAATGGGTACCCGATCTCGCATGTGAGCTGCATGTAAAAGCCCTCTAGTGCAAAAGGCAGCGTGGGCTATATACTCCCCAGGGAGTTGAGAATGATAACTGGAAAGCTTACTGATCCACTGTTCGGAGAACAAATAAACTGCCTTTTAGCAGATACTAATACCTAGATAACTGCTATATAATAATAATGATCATAATGATGATAATAATAATAATAATAATAATAATAATAATAATAATAATAATAGCAGCTGTTGTTGAGAATGAACAAAGACTCTGCAGTAATGTCCATGGTTTCCATGGTTTCAACAAGAGTGTATACTGCATGCGAAATGTCCATAGCTCCCCTCCAACCAGGACCTGACTACTTCTCATTCTGTTGTCAACACTTGATCTATGTCCTGACACACAGAGTTAACATGAAGTGTCACATACCTTCATTGAATGCTTCTACATGTAATTACTTACTTCAACCAAGGACATTAATAACTATTTTTAGTTGTTCATGAAAACTGGGTAATAGGTCAACCTGCAACTAAACGTAATCATTGTTTGTTGGAACACTATTTTGTACAAAGAAAAGCTCCCACTGAGAGCTTCACAATGAAGACATCTCTTTATAGACTGGACAGAAGGACAGACTTTATTTGGTGGTGAAGTGAGGTTCAATAACGCGTTCAAGATTAATTTATTTCTGCACGTGTGTGACTGCTAGTTCTAGTTTGGGCTTAAAATGGCCTGATCAGGATTTATCTTGGCCTTCTTAGAGGCTATTATTCAGCTTCAAGACCGCAGCAAATGTCAGCAAACATTCTCGGACATAAGTTGCCACTCATTGTCTACCCATGGCGATTTCCCATGCCTGTTGTGCCGACCGAACTGTTGCTCTTGCTGTCAACCACTTGTCCGGCACATATTTGATTATCACTGTGATCTAATGCCACACACAAACAAAATCTACGAAAGTAAAAACTATTCATCTAATATTTCCTGCCCAAACATTCTGAAGTGATGAAGTCTTGATGACAAACAGGGAAATATTAACCTACTAGAGGAGGCAAAATATTCTGTTTGCCTTCATGTTATCACAAGCTGGGAAACACAAATTAAGGAAAATCAAACAGTTTCACAAAGAATAATATATCCCCTTTTCACCATATTATTCAAAATTAGATATCAGTCTATATGCTGGCAAAATACAATCAACAACATCAAATATTTCCTTCATACTCACATTGCCTCAGCCATGAAAGTCAGAACTCCGAATTGATTTCAACTCGCTTCTTTTGCGCACACATGTAAATAAGATACTGCATTGTCTCCAGCGAGGCTATGACCTATTCCATTCAGATGTCTCATACATAGTCTTGGATAAATGTTGTAAGTTTCCTGATTTGTTCCATATACCACTGACTGAACACCAATGGTAGGCAGGATGAAAAAGTGAAGAAATAACTCATCACCTCCAATAACAAGCACAATTTGAATCCAGGAAGTAGCATGGAGACCGTGGGCTCTGCAAGATACACAACCATATGACGGGGACCATTCAGCTACTCATAGCTTGTAATAAAGACTTTCCAGGTACAGGGTTCATTCTCTGACAAAGGACAGTTTAATGTGTATATCCCTCCGTTGACAAAACCCCACTGTGTTATAGGTGACTATATTTGTATGTTTGGTGTTCAAAGCCGCACTCAGCAATACCGTAAAACAGGAAATTAATGCAAGCAGAATATTAATGCGAAAAATGCGAGTGACGGAAGGTCGTATAATTTTATGCGCATTAATTTTGTACCATCAAAATAAGGAAACAATCAACAAACGAAATAAATCACTTCAGTATTATTTACTTGTATTACATCAAAAACAATGATATCAGATCATTACAAGTTGATAGCAGCCACTGACAACAATCAGTCACCAAGGTAATAGATAAATAAATTACTAGACAAAATAACAAAGTCACCTACACAAAGTGAAGTTGAGTAGTGGTCAGTTCACATCCTGTCAAGCAGCCCAGATTGGCGGCAGCATAATCCCCTTATTTGATACACTGATCTGTTTTCTACTTCTTTTCATCAAAGGGACGAACGTATATACTAGTACCAACAGACTGTCAACTAATACAACACTAACACAATGATAGCTGCAAGGAAACCTCTCTCTTCTCACGCTTGGCCATCAAACATACGGGCAATTAGCTTAAATAATATTAAAATAAGGAAGGAATCGCACACTGAAAAAACATGGACAGGGGATATAATGTGGACAGTTATTTTATTTATCTCTGTCTACTCACAGTTCCTGCTCAATTGAAACAAACGAAGCGTTTTCAGGTAAGGCTTTTATTTACGTAGGTTACATTAATTAAAATAACACAGAACATAAATCCAGCACATAAATTTTTAGGAAAGGGTATGGGCACTCGCATTTTTAAAATGCGCCTTTATGTCTAAAATCAAGAGCTCGCATTATTTTCATGTCGCATTAAATTCCTGTTGCATTAAATTCCTGTTTTACAGTATTCCAACTTTATGAAGGCGGTCTGTAAATAATCATTTGGACCAGACAATCCCGTGATTGATATCATGAGCATCTATCTACAATATTGGGATGCAATGACATGCATCAACCAGGTCAGAAAGCCTGACCCCCGATCCTGTTGTCTTTTACGACAAGCATCAGTTGCTGAAGACTATACTAAATGTTAATTGGATTCATAATTTAGGGGTGCATAATTTATTGATGTTAGAACCCCATGAAGATCTGGGTGAGACTTGGTCTTCTGCCACCCATATTTGTCATTAGAGAATATTAATAAGTGTGGCATATAATAACAAACAAACTAATATTTAGTTGATCTTTTCATTTCAGTGTTTGAAATAATCATAGTAGTCAAGGGTCACTTGTGTAATCCTGAAGTAATAAGTTGTATTTGAAGGGGGTATTAGTGTCCTCTATATTCTGTCTGCATTATTTCAACAATAGTGTCTACATTACTTCAACAAGTGTCTGCATTACTTCAACAATGGTGTCTGCATTACTTCAACAATGGTGTCTGCATTACTTCAACAATGGTGTCTGCATTACTTCAATAGTGTCTGCATTTCCTCAACAATGGTGTCTGCATTACTTCAACAATGGTGTTCTGCATTTCTTCAACAATGGTGTCTGCATTATGCCAGTAATGGTGTCTGCATTACTTCAACAATGGTGTCTGCATGACTTCAACAATGGTGTCTGCATGACTTCAACAATGGTGTTCTTCATTACTTCAACAATGGTTTCTGCATTACTTCAACAATGGTGTCTGTATTACTTCAACAATGGTGTCTGCATTATGTCAGTAATGCTGTCTGCATTACTTCAACAATGGTGTCTGCATTACTTCAACACGTGTCTGCATTACTTCAACAATGGTGTCTGCATGACTTCAACAATGGTGTTCTTCATTACTTCAACAATGGTTTCTGCATTACTTCAACAATGGTGTCTGTATTACTTCAACAATGGTGTCTGCATGACTTCAACAATGGTGTCTGCATGACTTCAACAATGGTGTCTGCATTACTTCAACAATAGTGTCTGCATTTCCTCAACAATGGTGTCTGCATTACTTCAACAATGGTGTCTGCATTATGCCAGTAATGGTGTCTGCATTACTTCAACAATGGTGTCTGCATGACTTCAACAATGGTGTCTGCATGACTTCAACAATGGTGTTCTTCATTACTTCAACAATGGTTTCTGCATTACTTCAACAATGGTGTCTGTATTACTTCAACAATGGTGTCTGCATTATGCCAGTAATGCTGTCTGCATTACTTCAACAATGGTGTCTGCATTACTTCAACATGTGTCTGCATTACTTCAACAATGGTGTCTGCATGACTTCAACAATGGTGTTCTGCATTACTTCAACAATGGTGTCTGCATTACTTCATTAATGGTGTCTGCATTATGCCAGTAATGGTGT